CGCCTGCTGAAGACACAGACGTCCATCCCCGTGAACACTGGGACGGAAATCAATGGGAAAGGAAATCATTCTTAGTTTTTAATTTCAACCGTTCCGTATATTAGCTGCGACATATGAATCAAGATGCTATGACTGAAAAATTTTTGATTGACAGATGACCGTTGATATATGATTGGCCGAATTTCGGTGTTCAGGCTGACGTATAACTAACTGGCCTGCATAAAATAACGAACGATTTTTTATTTTTATTTTTTTATAGAAATTTTCTAATTTTTGGGACAATATCGTCTGATAAAGACTACATTTATATACATGTTTAAGCCAGAAAGATTTGACATTTAAATAAGATTTCACTACAACTTTAATGAAATACCAAAGCTAGCATAATTAGGGCTAAATCAGCTTTGATAGAAAGTTATATTACTCATAGATAGAAATCTTTTGATTGATTTTACAAATATATGAAACATTATTAAGACTTTTCATGTTAAACTGAGAAATGTTTTGTTAAAGAGAAAATACCCCCAGCAGTTGGTGAGGTTTTAAAAGAATCAATAATTCCAGCTGTGTTGCTAATCTCACTGGAAAAACGATCTAGAAATAAGTAAAAATTTCTTCATTTAAGTGTATTTAACCTTAACCTGAGTAGGTTAATTAGATAGTTTGCCAATGGAATGGGTATTTCACTCTTGAATAAGATAATTAGATAACATGCATTTAAAATAACACAAACCAATTGCGTTTTCTTATTTTAAATGTAAATTGTCTTTTTCCATTGGCAAAATGTCTCTTTTACCTCCTCAATCCAAGAACAAATGCATTTATTTTAAGAAAAAAAAAAGAGTTATCTAGATTTAGATTTTTTTCTATTGACATTGATCTCAACCATCAAATCTCTATTAAAGCTTTAAAACACACAGCAGTCAGTCTGGACTCAGTCTTAAGGCTCTCAGAGTTTTAATGTCCCACACTTTGGAGGCTTTCATGGCCTTTAATTAAACTTTTTTGTGTTTTTAACCATCAACGTCCATTTCTTTCCTGTGTCCAATCATTACCTACTAAACACACCCTCCTCTACAAACCGCCAACAAATACCCCCTTCTTCATCATCCTGGGTACAAAAGTCTTTCATATGTCATCAGCCTTTGAACAAACTGCCTTTTCTACTGTTTGACAAAACCTCTTCATTGGCGACAAACAACCTGAACGGAAAGTAGGAAACTTAAACTCTGCAAATCATTTATTTCTGTGGGTCTAACTGCACTCAGCAATGCGGGGGTTGATGTAAAATTACATAATAGAAATTATATCAAACATAGATGTTGCCTAAACTACAGATGGAGTTCAAAGACGACATGGATCATCGACCAGTAGGTCGATGTTGAAAAATTACCTAACATAACCAGCTAGGTTGAGATTTAACACCAACAGCCAATGTTTTGTCAATTCTGGCTTAATTATCTGTTCAAAGGAAATAGTGACTCTTTGTTTCAGCTATAAGGCTTCACTGTTCCTCTAAACGCTGATAAAACCATCCTGTTTAAACTCAGATCAGCTAAACATGTTTGCTCAAACACACCTGTGTTCTTCTCCAAAATGGCTGCCAGCCAGGCAGACAGAGGCAATCTTTATCCGACCAGCTCGTCTTCAGGTACCATCCATGTGTGAAAGCAGTTTCAGCTCCAGAATTAAGATAACCAAAAGGGCCCGATATCAGGCTTCTTCTTCTGAGGTTCCAACCAGCAGATTCACTTCCTCCTGCTGCTTTTCTTTAAATTCGGTTTGTTGTTCGTATCTGTGGAACGCCTGCGTCGGTCAGATGGACTTTGAGCTTTAAACAAGAAAAGGTAAAAGGTGTTCACTCATCTGACGCAGTCATAAAACAGCCAGTTGTCTTCCTGGAGGCACACACACATAATTCTGCCTCCATTATGATAGATTATGACTCTATGACATATAGAGTCTTCTTTTATAACAAGAAACATACAAAAGCTACAGCAAACACAGTTTTCATATCGATCATAAATACTATTAAAATCATTTGACGCTTGTGAAATTATCCAAGCCAACTGATATTATGGATATAAAGATCATCCCGTAGTAATTTACCTCGCTTCTTTAGCTGAATAAATTAGAAACATCCACAACAACACAGAAAGTTTGCTCTGTAATGAATGAATGAGAGTTATTTATAGAGATAAATAACAAAATGTCATTCATTTAAATCCAGTTTAGATAAAAGATAATAAAAGCTCAGTTAAAATAATTTATTATATATAATCTATTACTTTCTAAAGAGGATAATTACATAAGAGCAGGACCTAAAAAGCAGGTCTGCCTTAACTTTAAAGTCGTAGGGAAGTCATATTTATATGTCAAATTATTCTGGCTTAAACATGTATATAAATGTACTCTTTATGTGACGATATTGTCCCAAAATTAAGAAAATTTCTATATAAAAAAAAAATCCTTTCTTAAAATCTATGGGTTTTTTTTCGTTATCTTATGCAGGCCAGTTAGTTATACGTCAGCTTGTACACCTTAATTCGGCCAATCATATATCAACGGTCATCTGTCAATCAAATTTTTCATAGCATCTTGATTCATATGTCGCAGCTAATATA